TTGATAGATACCTATCTACAAAACGATGTTTCGCTAAGGGACGTCTACGTTATCATCATCGTAAATTATAAACGCGACCTGGGACTACTTTACAATTAAACGGTTTTTGAAATAACTACGCACTATATCTTTTATGTATAAATATTAAGTTTTAACAATCCATCTACAAAAATATACATAAAATGTTTTTGTTGAATAACGCATAATAATGTAAAACAGAAATGTTTATTAAAAAATCATCGAGACTATTGCAGATAAATTGTTAAAGAATTAACATTATTTTTTTGATAAAAAATGTGCTCATTCCAACATTGACTCTAGTAAACTCTAAAAGTGTGAAAATAATAAGTCAAAATACCAGATTAGATTGTTTTTGAATATAAGTTAAAAGACATTATTATTTCATTAAAGATCGATTATAAATTTAAAAAAATTGCTATTTGGGTAGGACTTGAACCGGCATCTTCAGCGTTCTGTTCTGTTGCTCTAACCAATTGAGCTACACATGATCGTCGTATTTTTCCAACCAATTGATACAAGCTCCTCTCGCGCATTGATACATGCAAACAAAGTTTATCTCTTAACAATTGTATTTAAATACACATTTTCTTTAAGGTATTATCTCAAAATAAGTTTGCATTACAATTTTTATGTTCTAACCCATGATCCAAGAATATACGACAAAAAAATGTCGTCGTACGAAATTGATTTCTTCCAGTCAAACAGTTTATTAATTTGCAGGGAACAATAATTGATGTAACGAGAGTGAATGCACTCTACGACAATGTGTCATGTAAATTATACACTTGCACCCCAGCCTCCTATCCGTTGGGACTTACCTATTGTTATAATAAAATGCCATTTCAGAGTAAGAAATATGGTACAGTCGTCGACAGAAGTTTTCGCGACATTGCAATATATCGGGTTTAATTCTTGCATTTAATAATTGGTGTATTATAAATAAATTCATATTCAATGGTAAAACTGCTATCAATTCTCTTTAAAAATATCTTCTCAGTCATGGAAATTTTAATACCTAACAATTATTATTATTTATTAAGTTTAGATTTCCACTTAATCATAATGTTATTAATATTTATTATAATTTCGTTGAAAAATCAAATATTCCACTTAATAAAAATAGCCTTTTAAAAAAGGTTATTGCAACACGAAGTAAAAATATTTCCAATCATCGAGTTTCATTTTTGTTTTGCATTTGCAATAAGCGCTTTTATGTGCGAGTGTACAGCGCGGGGGTGTAACATGTTTATATGTTTATTTTAATACGCGTGTCGTGCGTATAATACGGAATTTATTACGGCACGACCCTCGGCCGGATTAATGCGATACGGAAGATTTGAATTCAGAGCATTAACTTGGATTGGTAGGTTCAGGGACAGAGGGGGGAGGCTGGGTGTAAATAGGTAGCAGTCGACTTGTCATAATGATAAATGTTTCATACTCAAACCTTTCATGCCGTCGTTCCGTGATTCAATCAATAACTGACATTTCATTTGTAATTGTTGGAAAGGGTCATTTGCATTCATTGGGTTAATAAAGTAAAGTAAATATAACTTTAAAAAAAGTGAATCTTGTGACATAGTCCCTACGTGAGGCATGGGACAGTTACATTTTTGTGTCTGTTTCATCAATCTATTAGATTAATATGAAAATGGTAAATACGCTCCAACAGAATGAAACTATATGATATAGTTAAAACCGAAAAAAAATTTCGAACCGGCATCATCAGCGTTCCGTGCTCATCTCATCGCCGATTTTATTCAACTTTTTGATAAATGCATCCCTCGCGGAATATATAATATAGTTTTTCCAGAGTTCGAACCTATAGCAAAAAATTTAGTCACTGAGCCATGGTGACACGAACGATGTTAATAGAATGGAAAGTCATATTATATCAGTGCATTGTGTTCGTATAAAGAAAGAGTAGTTGTTATTTACTTTTTTAAATTATATACATATTGCAAACAATGTTGTACATAACCATAAATTAAATTACATTAAAAGTTCAAAGTATTATAATAAATATTTATATACTTTGAACATACTAAGTCGGTTATGAAAATAATGATTTCTATTGATAAATGGACTGTAGATAAAGATTTGATGGCGAGTCAATTGGAAGACTGATGGAATTGGATCTTCTCACTAGAACAGTAATAGGTCGTCTGATCTTAGTTCGAGGATTGATCTATTCGGATATGCAATGATTTATTACGACCAATAACTGGAAAAACTGGCTGTAATCTATTTTCATGCATACACAAATCGGTTGAACAGAAAACCATAAAACACCCCACACAAAGAATCTTTATGTAAACATAACAAACGTTAAAAGCGTTATATCTGTTGTTTTAACTCATTTCGAAAGTCATTAATCAGAAGCATTGTGTATTGTATTGAGGCAGACGGAACTATGATTAGATTTTATTACCAAGTACACACTCCTGTGATTACTTGAAACCCGACTTGACATCCTTCAACAAAAGAAATAAAATTTGCAAACTGGATGAAGGACTAATCTTTGACAGAGCCCACTAACAATCCTATTTTAAAAATTACTACGCTAGACTATGACTTCACAGAAACCCGCCATCTTCAGTCCACCCGTGACCACGGCTGTTGCAAAGCACCCGAAATGTCAGGCCGTAGTTAAATGAAATTAAATATAAGTTAACTAATATATTTCACGTTTTATACCATTAAGAGTGATTTATTTAAATGATTAAAGACACTACTTAAGTATTTACTAACTAATTAATTGTTTTTGTTTCTGAAAAATAAACAATTCCTAGATAAATGGAATACACTGACATGGGTGTAACATAAGGTGTAGTACCTCTTGTTACATACATGTTATGGCCAGTTAGTCTGTTAAAACTGGTTCATTTTAATCATATTAAACAAGAAATTTTTAGGTAAAGTTGATAAAAACGACCATGGTTCGGTTGAGTCAAGAAGTCAAGTTATTTATATTGCAGGAATTAAGTATTTGTACAAAGAAATAGATTGCATTTATCAAAGCAGCTTACAGTACTAACGAAGAATAATGTTACTAATAAATGAGTAACACTAAACGTATCGGACATTAAAAATACGCTTAAATCTTTCGGTGTCGTGAAATTTGTTTCCTTACGGGATTTTTCTAATCTTCTTTAGCATCGTTTATATTGATTATGGCGCTGTTCCTGCCTAATTTATATTCAGTTTGTGTTTTTTCATCACGTTCTGTGCTTAATATCGCAATTTGTACCGTAGTTGGCGTAAACCGAGGGACCCTGTCACTTCTGGACATTTCGTCTTTCTCTTGTAACCTTTTTATTGGCATTTTACACATAAACATCCAACTTTTACGGCCTTCTTGCAATATTCACCCTGTAAAAGAAATATCCATCGACACGCTGTTTATCATGGATTCGAATACCGCCTGTGTCATAGGTTTAAATATTTAATACAAAACTTATGTAAACTACATGATTTCGCATTGACGATAGAACTATTTTAAAGAGATGGGACATTTCCTCTTATTCTATAAAAAAATATGTCTGTAATTCCGTTTTCCCACATGGAGCATAGGAAAGGCATTCTTAATATTGTTCGCTTCTGTGCCCTCCCGACCAAAACAATCTGATGTTTCCCTGGGATTCGAACCTTTCCACCTTTCGCGCTTAACGAATTGCTAAGCAACTTCAACCATTCAGCTCGAGAGGCAGTCAAACAAAATAAAAAATATAGAAGCAAATTTATTTAACAATTTAGTAAAATTTCGATTATTTAAAAGTTTGTTAAACATACCTTGTCAGCACATATATCATCGTATAGAGCGAGCTGTAAAAAGTTGAATCGGCTCTCATATCACAACAATTGCATACATCACGATCGAAATTCCCTAATCGAATCTGACCGCTCAAAAACTATGGCGCCGCAGATCAATTAGTTCCGAGTAATAAACCAAACAAATATGTCCGTTATGAAAAGAATCCGACTGCTAAACTTCTTTTGATGCATCAATCAAAATCATACAGATAATGAAATCATCATTTGGGTGGCCATAGAGAGGTCTCTTCCGAGAAATTTGCTTCGAGTCCCATGTGCAGAGCCATTATCACATTCTTGATTTATTAATTAGTCGTTAGATAGCCAAAGATCCGAAAACATGGCGCAGAACTTTTTAGAAAGTGAATCAAGAATTCACCCATGAAATAAATGTTGCCCAAGTGTGCATAGAAATTATCGAATTATTATGAAAATAGGTTCTTATCGACATTTCTTTAAATAAAATTTTAATGCTTCGAGCGGCATAAATTTAAGGTTTTATTTATTGCTAAGATATGGCGTGATGTGAGCAATATTATACGCGCGCTTAATGTATGCCAAGTTTCAAATTGATATTTAAGAGATCTATAAAAATATCCATTAGGGCGCATACATTATGTTGTAATTTTTACATAAGTTTGTTATAGAGTAGTACTGAATAGCTGTGTGTTAATTAATGCGGTTTTGTTAGTGCATATTTGGATATGAAATTATTACTGTTTTTTATGATTGCAGCCGGAATTAATTCTCTTGAAGGTATTTAAACTAAGATACAATTAATATTATAATTCCCTTACCTTATCTGCATAGGGTTGATTACCATTCTAGTAGAAGAATTTTATATAAACAACCTACCTAATTTATAAACTGGACTTAAGGCTCTCCTTCAAACTTTGAGCAGATACTAGAAACATTGATAATAGCGAAGTAACATTTTAACGACTCGGTATTCATATCCTGAAGTTTGTGATCTACAGTTGCTGATCTCCACTTGACCTTGACTTTGTTTTATTTTTTCAGACGATGATCATCGAAAACATTACGGCTTAAGCTTTCACAGTAAATGTGGAGATTACATAAAAACCTTTAAATGTCTAACAGCGTGTAAGAGTGTGGGTTACCAAATATATCGTTTGAATCACAATTGTAAATGTAGTTGTCACGAAATGAAGACCTCTACATTCCTACCGTTTTTCATGTGGCGAACGAATGGGACCACAAGAAGGATACCGAAAACGTTGCCCCCGAAACTGTATCAAGTGGTCGGTACATTGTTCCCGCCTGTTCCACTCCTATCTGGAGAAGAGGAAACGACCACGGTTGGGGCCAATATAACAGGTAGCGATGCTAATGAGACAACGATTTCTGTGACAACAGAGACCTTGATAGATAAAGATATAAGTAAAAACAGTACAGCTGAAAACATAACAACAGTTGCAGAGTAGCTTATGCTAAATAATAAAATGTAAAACGTAGTCGAAGTTTTTATTTTTGTCAGTATTATTATTTGTGCTAGTATTTTGGAATGATCAAAAACAAATAATATAAAGGTGTAATACAATTTGTAAAATTAACCTAAACCTGTATTTTTAAATAAACCCCTACTAACAGCTTAAAACAAAGAAATGTACAAACTTATTTACAATTTATTTTAACTGCCCAACGTTTCTAATACAGCCAGTCAAATATGTATAAATCAAATAATAGTATTACTAGTCCAAACAAATCTGTTAAAAAAATGTTTATTTAATTCATATTTAAAGGAGTTTGATACAACGCATTCTGACGTTAATTAAAATAATCATTCCAGCAATAAAGAGGCTTTCTATAAAGTGAATTTAGAGAAGAGTTTCTTCCGATGTTATTATTATTTATTGGTATTAAAAAGGTATGCAACAAATTAAAAAAAAAAGTTATTTTGTTTCGTACGTTTTCAAGTATTTTGAATGGTAATGTAATGTAAAGTTTCAACACCAATTAATTGATAAAACAAGACAAGTAGTGACAATTGTATTGATATCTTTTTTATCTTATGTTTTAGCGTTCGTAACAATTACTAAACAATTTAGTGCTCATTGAATTCGATTAACAGTGTAATACACAATAATAGTATGCAACAGGCTGTTAAATTTATATTACCCAGGTATTGATGGTGTAATGTTTATGAATTTTATGATAATTGAATCCTTATAAAAAATTACATTTATAGCATTACAAAATTATAGGCAGTGGGAACTAGGATTTGATAATGAATTTATTGGTTAATTATATTTTAAGTTTTCTCATTTATCAGCCCTATTCGCTATGTAGTAATACAACGATGGGTAAGAAATATAAATACATAATAATATATTATGTGTAATTATAACTAAGTGATTCGTGACATTTATTTATATTATTTACGTTAAGTATAAACTTTTGTTAACAGCATTATCTCCAAACGATCTTGTTGTCGTAGAAAATATTGATAACGGTACGTATTATTTAAATTGCTTAAAATTTACTTAAGGCATTCGCTTAAAAGAATTAAGCAAATTTATTGAATAAACACAAATACAGGTAGTTTACATATCCATGTTAATCGTCAATTTAAGCCATGTTGTAACCATCGATCCTTTTATTCTTATGCTTGAAATAGAAAAATTATAAAGGGTTAGAGACTATTTTCTTAGACTCCATGGTATGTGTGTCACCTTTTTATTTTATTTATATCTCTCCAAAAAATATTTAGGTACGAGAAGAAAGTCGATTCTTCGCTACGGATTTCACAGAACATCTGAATGTTTAGATTTCGAGAAATCGTATATTTGTATACAGAAATGCTTAGATTTGAAATACGACGTGGCCTATGCAGATAAAAATTGTTATTGTACATGCTATGTTAAGAAAGATAAGGCAAAGTATCGTCCCAGTCAAGCTGGAACCCAGCAAAGGTGGAAACTAGGAGCACCCACAACTAAACTACCGATATGGGCACAGAAAGAGACGAAGAAACCCAAAGATGATAAGAAGGATTTGGAAGACGAAAATTTCGAATTAGACGATTTTGCAAATACTACAGAATCAACATTTAAAGATCGCTCTGTTGCTGATCACAAAGTCGTGAATACAACAAAACCTAGCTTGGATAATGTAGAACTCGTTGGCAATACTACAGCAAACACTGATTCTTCCAATACTTCTGTTGTTACTGAAACTACTATAGAAGTAGAAAACACAACTACGACTGTTTAAAACAATTTCAAATATTCTTACCATGTTGTCAATAAAGCACGTAAGCTTATCGCTAAATGTGTAAGGCGTTCTTATATATAAACTATTATAAGGTATTTCCTAGCCCAATGAATTTAAAGCAACTTATAAGTTTTATTTCTAACGAAGTATATCTGCCCCATGCCCCGATTGGGGAAATGTGGGGTTTCACTTTAAGCCCTCCATAACCAAGGTGTGGTATGGACGTTACATGAAGCAACTTCTAATTTCTTATAAGTACAGCTTTCAATGTCATAAACTATTTGCCGCTAATATTTCTTCTTGAGCATGTGCTCTGAATATTTACGGTTACTTGCTGAAATAATTATCGATATATTATACTTAATGGCTACATTAGGGAAATAACATTCCTCCTCATATAATATTAATCTTTATGTCTCCCGGAATATTATATGAAACTGCCTTATTTCAATATAAGCGAACAATTTATGTAACCTTTATTAATAATAACTAAAAAGAAGATTTAATTGAAAATAGCACGAAAGAAAGAGAATAAAAATAAACTTTCTTTCTAATTTGGAAAAACAATTTTACATTGACGTCAGTTGAACTGGAACATAGGTTTTATAACATACTTAAGTTACACAAGTCTTTTGAATGCTATAGATAGAAGAAAACAGAGTAATCTGAAGTCTACTTAACAGAACTTGGAATGACCTAGTCCTATAGCATCTCACCTAGGTTTCAAATTATTGAAACCGATATAGAGCCCACAAACCATTAATTATTAACAATAATAATAATAATTATTAAAAATATTTCCTCTCATTGTGTACAAAAAAACGTAAACTTTTTGTGTTAAACTAAAACTTAATCGTTTACTTGAAGTAAACTTAGAAAAATAAGGAAAGGCAGGCATATACACAACTGTATCGCCGTTTGTTAGTGCTATAACTTAGCACTTATACTATATCAAGAAATAACAACATAAACTATCTTAATAACTATAGTGACTCGAATGTAGTTCCTATACACATATAATCTATTTGACACTCTGTAACTCACTTACACTCTACAATTCAGATACATAGATGAGTATGAAAAGGCTGTTAATTACATTTATTCCATCCGCCGGTATTGGGCATCTATATTCTAAATGTTCATACAAACGAAAGAAGTCATCAGATGTTATGCGACATATTTATTTTTTCATACAGTCCCTTTTTGCGATAGCGCAAAACTTTTTATCAATACCCTGGAGGCGGTAAGCGAGACTGACGGCTATGACGTATCACTGAGATTTTTTAGCAATCCAAAGAGAACATAAATATGCTTTTATGTCAATATATCAATTTTGTTTGTCCCGTTTGACATTTTTAGACAAACTATCCGATCGCATTTGTGATGTGGGTAATGCGAACGACATTATTATTTCTCCATGTTTATTTTTAAATAATAATTCTTGTGTAACAAACTTATCGCATTCAAAATTACAAAATATATTATTTTTTTGTAATCTAATATATATTTCTTTTGTTTAAGGACAACTGCAATAACTTATCCCACGTAAGATTTATCTATTAAGAAGAGATGAAGGTATTATTAATAAAAAAGAAAATCTATATTTTTATAGAAAAGTAGACTAATAAAGAAATAATTCATGACGGATAACAAATAAGCGATGGTATGAATCAGCCGATATTGGACATAAAGGAATATCGCGGATTGAACTGAATGTCGCTTTTCATAGTTTTGGCGCTTTGTCACTAAGGGATGAACTTATAAATCTTGCGATGACCCTCCCTTATGGCAGGCTAAGATACAAAGATAGTAGGTCAGCTGGGACGGGGATGGACGCAATAAAATTTCGATTGTCGATATTTATTAAAGATTGACCCCTCGTTTTCCTAAATTATTTATGGATATTACAAATCGATTCTCTTTGAATGTAACATGTTTAATGTAAGCATAGACTCGGCAGAGTGCTTAGTTAGTAGTGTTATTAATAATGATTTATAATTCAGTAGAATAATATAGTAGTTCTTGAATTTTAATTAATTTACGGATACATTTTGCTTTTACACCAGTAAAGATATATTATTTGTGAGCATTAACTTTCCCGTTATCAGTACAGTCCATACTCGAAACAAAAGGACGTCAAACAATAAATCCGCTAAGGAAAAAATTGCAACAACTTCGTTCATAATAGCGATGTAGGCATCATCAAAAGTTGGTACGTTTCGCACCCTCGCGCCCATTCGTGCAGAGATTACCAATAAATCCAATACGGGATAATTGGCCCGCTTAATTCTGTTCTATCTTTCTACTTAGTTCAGTCGTCAGAATGCGCCGGCTCAGGCCCCTTGGGAGAGTCCAGTCGAGACTGCGAATGCCAATTACTTGCCGAACAAAAATCTGCTTTACACAATTCTTTCAGAAATTTTGATGGAACAATTCAACTGATAAATAGCGATTAATAAAAATTGAAAGGTCATCTCATCTTATTAGATCTTTTATTTAAATATTCTTGTTACTGTTGGTATTTAAGGACCCAACATTTTTGAAATGTATTTTTTTGGTCAAATAGTTTGGCTTACACTTATAGTTAGACCTCTGTAGCTAAATGGTTAAACGTGTTGCCTAGCATTGCGTTAAGTGTTATCTTGGGTTCAAATCCCGGGATCGACCGAAACAGTAGATTGTTTCGGTCGGGCAGGGCACAGAAGTCTCATCAACTAATAACTACTAACATTACGGCATCATATGAATTAAAATTAAATTTTATATTGACAAAAATTTACGACACGGGTAGACTTGAAACGACATCCACAGCGTTATAATAGCAGCACGGAGCTATTGATCTACCGTGTCCTATACGACATCGTAGATTTTTTTTAACCTAGCGATACATGCATCTCTGGCGAAATGGAATTTCAATGATAACTATATACCTAAAATTAAGTGCACATGAGAAAAACATTTAAATTTTCAAAAGTTTAAACTGTTATTCAATCTTCAATGTTAGCTATAAACATAAGACCTAACTTACAACGCAAGTGGTAAGGTTTAATGCAAATATTTTAATGAGAAAATCATATTTCTACTATCTACTAAAGTATAGCAGTCGCAGAGGCCGCTGAGTGGCACATGATGGACATACAAGTAGGTGCCACTTTCCCATGTCGTCTAATGGATTGTATATTATAGAGTATGGGGTGGCAGCGATTTGATATTCGCATCAACAGACCGCCCTTGGGACCACTGTGACGGGATTCAATAGCTCCTTTGATCGACACTATTATCAAAATTCGTATAATATCCCTTATTTTGAGTGGCGAGACAGTCTAGTCGTCTCTGGATTTCAGTTAGATTTTGGTCATAAACAAAAAAAATACGACATAATATGATAGAGCCAGAGTGGCCTAATAAAACCGTAATTAACTTAAGCAAAAATGAATTTGTATTATAATTTGTGTAAGAATGATATTAACAATTTTCTTTTACTGTGCTCATATAGATTGATATTTTTAGACTATAAAAATATATAAGTTAAGTTTTAAAATTGCATAGGCTACTTTGGATCTAGTAGCCTCATATGTCCCTTACTTCTTGTACAGAAGGACTGTTAAAAGGGCTGATGTAACACATTGTCTTCATATTCAGTTTTTTGTTTCGCATATTTTATTGTAAATCTGGGTAAAGTTAATCGAGGTCCATAATCTACATAAACATACATATAAAATATGATTATACTTCGCTGTAACCCCAAGTAGAGTTGAAATTAAAACGTCAGTCAAAGCGGAAAAATCCCGTTCCGAAAAATTAGCCAGCAAAATTCCGACAAATAATTAATCTGGAATAATCATACAAAACGATGCGAGCGGGATTCTCCGCCATTATTACCATTCATTTCAAATCAGCCGTGCGGAGGGTCGGGAGGGGAGGGCCGCCCGACCTGAATAAGCATACATTTTCCAATCAGACCACGTATCATTTAACTCGCTATTAAATTCGACTTCTTCCCTTCGAATTATCATCATGTCAAATGTTAAAGCCCGGCGTCTAGCTTATCAAAGATTTTAAGGGATAAAGCTTTTTTCTTCTTTCACGAGAGTTTTATATGTGGAAACAGCGTCTGCGATTATAGTTACGTTAGAAACATCGTTTGCCTTGCGAGTGTTAAAAAAATCTTTTGACTTTATAACGGCCGGGCCGCGGAGTTACGAAAACTCATAAAAGATGTTTCCTTCCTAAAATTTATTGTGTGGTGAGCATTCAAGTTTCTAAAAGGAGGCCTCAATGGTTCATTATACTTGCTCCTATACACTTTTCATAAACACCGTCATAACATTCATGCTTAAGACCTTTTACTGTAATTACTCGCACTCGGAGCGCGCCCCGTGGGGTGAATTAGAGAATTAAATTTTTATGAAAGAAGTCTTGGTTGTGTCTTACACGTCAGTATAAATGGCTATAAAATGAAAGAGTTCTTTCTGAGTGGAATATAAAGGTAACTTATTAAATAATTATGAAATTAGAATTTGTTTTTATACCAAATGAAAATGGTCAGTTTTTGTAAGCACTTGCTGTGCCATCGACTTTGTTGCGAAGGATAGTTATTTTGGACATCAAATTTTGTGTTCATAAATAGATAATAGATGTTACGCCTTTTTTGCAAGTTAATCTGAAAAGATAGATATATCCTGTGGAAGGTATTCTTTTAGACCATTTAAAGAGAAATCATTCTGTCATACACATTTTTGGAGTATCTTGAGCGGTTTTAGCAAGCAAAGGAGTTACTATTGATATTATTGCGATCTTTAATATCTAATAAACAATCTTTTAGGATGTAATTTTTACCCTGTTTTTCCACAATTTCCACTACTTTCCGGTCCTATTGGTCCCAGCGTGATGTTTCAGCCTAAAGCCTTCCTCGTTAAATACTCTAACTAACACACAGAGAAGACACAATAATTTAAAAATCGAAAATAAATTGAAAAAATTTTCGACTCGGGCAGGAC